AAAAAAAAAAAAAAAAGATAGGAAAGATACAGTGGACAGACAGAGTTTAAACAGTTACCAGAGGTATAATTACTTTCTCATGCTAAGAAAAAGTGTTCCCCTAACAGACCCATTATGAAGAATATGACATTAAGATGTGGTTGGAAAGCAAAACAAGAATCTTTCTGCAGTAGAACTGACATTTAATTATGTAAAACTAATAAAATAATGGCCAATATAATAAAAAAGCCAAAAAGGCATCAAGTTGTCTCAGTACAAGTGCCAATATCATAGAATGCTACACAGTGTTATTTATTCTTAGAGTAATATAGAATTATTCACTCACTGATCCAAATATCCAAATATCAAATATAATAATCCACCAGTTTCATACATTTCAGATAAAAATGATCAAGGAACCAAGGTGACTGATACTGACAAAAGGAATCGGCACAAGATACACTGAATAGTATAGTAAAAAAAGTAATAAATACTTGTATTTGTATTGTCTTCTGTGAAAGAAAAAGAACACCATTAGGAAACAGTAAAAGAGGAGGAAAAATCTAAAGCATCAAATGCAAACAGATGGATAACCTAGATTGAGTAGATAAAAAAAAAAAAGAAAGAAATTTTTTTTTTTTTTTTTTAAATAAAATAAAATAAAAAAAGAGTCATAGGTAGGAAAGATACAGTGGACAGACAGTTTAAAGTACCAGAGGTATAATTACTTTCTCATGCTAAGGAGAAAAAAAAATAAAATAAAAAAGTATTCCCCTAACAGTCCCATTATGAAGAGCTAATAATATTAATATGTTGTTATAAAGTGAAACAAGAACCTTTCTGTAGCAGAACTGACATCTAATAATGTAAACTAATAAAATAATGGCCAATATAAAAAAAAGCCACAAAGGTATCAAGTCGTCAGTGCAAGCGCCAATATCACAAAATGCTACACAGTGTTATTTATTCTTAGAGTTAGTAGATATTAATGTAGAGTTAAAGTTTTAATGGCAATGAGATGGAGAGTTGTACTGTAACTCAATTTTAGTAGGGGGAAATTGTTTCAATATAGATTGATTCACTCACTGATCCACAAACAAACAAACAACAAAAAACACACAACTACAAAATTTTAATATAAACTATTATAATTCTGTTAAGTTAGTCAAAATGATCTAGCATTATGTATCAGGACTTGATTTGTTAAAAGTGTAATTTGTATGTATGCTGTATAAATGTGTGCCTGATGAAGGCTTCCCCAGCTGAATCTTGGTTCCTCTCAAGGTCTTTTCCTCATCTAATTTAACATCACAGAGCTTTCCTTTTCCGTTTTGTAAAGCACTGCTCTTAGTAAAGCTGCTTTAGAACGGTGAGTCTCATTCACCAATAATTGAGTGGTGTATTTACACACAAAAGAGAACTTCACTTTAAAAATAATTGCCTCATTCACAACACATTTAAGAGCATGAATTTTTTCTTAATCTTGTTCTAATGTAAATGAGTATCCTAATTGAGCAACCGTGTGCCGGAGGTTATTAATTTGCATAAAATGCAGCAAATCCATCTCTGTATAAGAGATCCATGCAACCTTTCTTTTACAGCCTTTCGTCAATCTCAGTGAACATAAGACACATTTTCTTACTCTTTTACTGTATATAAAATATACTTAAAATGAACTATTCATGCATAAAATTAACATAAACCGACCCAGATTGTGAGATTTAAGTATGTGTGGTTTCAGCTGTTCCTTTTTTTTGTAAACTAAGAATAAAATGTAGTATGCTATTGGAATGTTACTGGTGAATGATTTGTTTGTGGAAACATTTGAAAACAAATTTCATATATAAATCTGGCCTATACATGGTTATGGTAAGTGAATATGCTATGAAAAGTGCAATACAAATGAATTGAATTATTCCAACTACCTTTGAGACTAGAGTATTATATCAGATTATTTCTACAGGCAGATCAGAGCAGACATATAGTAGCACTTCTATGAAGACGAAATGTATTTAGAGCATACATATAGCCACTTTAATTCCCAATTGATTTGAATTTTTTTTTTGGACGTGTTGCGATATTTGTAATCACATCCCTGAATGTGGTGGCTAAAAATTTCCAGCCCTAAACTGTTGGCCATAATTTTCTCATAATTGTTAAGAAATGTCTGAACGTCACTACAGAAAGTTTCTGAGCTCTCTCCTTCTTGATCTTAATGTTGTTAACTCTAAAGCAGGGCCATTAGGAGAACATTAATGTGCATCTAATATTTTTAATAATAAAGTATATATTTATAAGACAATACTAGAGCCCGACTGATATATCGTTTAGCCGATATTATAGGCCGATATGAGCCCGTCGCCGATATATCGTATCAGCGAATATGCCGCCGATATGAATTTTTTTTTTACAGAACATATAACACAGATTAAATGCTTCTGAATGGTGTAATTACTTAGTTTGTCCAGCAGAGATGGACGCGCTCCATTGTTTGCTACTGGTGACCCAGGTCACTGTAGTGTAGAGATGCGCGGATGAGCTCAAACTTCACCCGAGTCCGCAATGTCTTTTACTCTCACAATGAGCTTATCATATTCGTTTGCTACATTAGTAGGGCGTAATGATTTCTGCAATGCAGAAAACATGGACGGAATCGCGGAATCCAGTCGTAAAAACAGAATTTACTGTATAACGCAGAATTTCATGGAATTTGTCTTATTTTTGATGAATAAATAGGTCAGTATATATATATATATATATATATATATATATAGATAGATATTGGTTGTGTCAAAATTAGCACATTAACGCTGGCGATTAATTTTTTCAATTTAACGCGTTAAAAATATTTAACCAGTCTGTGTGCATTGAATGTATTTAATACACGAGTTTCACAATTTGAGTTGAATTACTGAAATAGATGAACTTTTCCACGACATTCTAATTTATTGAGATGCACCTGTATATATATATACATATATGACAACTTTCACTTTGGGTAAACTGTTCCTTTACAGAATACAGTCATGCATTAATAAAAGAAATCATTTCAGTCTTACCAATGCACCTTGGTGGTACAGGGTCCCATCCATTTGCTCTACACACAATATAATCTTCTCCTGTCATTTTATAGCAATCGTCACATTTGTATTTTACAAAGTTACCCAGTTTGTAGGGGGGTGATTGTCCATCAATTCTTTTTGCATTAAGAATTGTAGGCGCTGGACACCCACCTGGGAAAAAAAGAAAAGAAAAAATGTTTATGTAAAAGAAGAGTATTGATCATTAAATATTTTATTCATTAACCGGAATCAACTCCCAAGTGATTTTTTTCTTTATCTCTTGATTGGCATTTGAACCATAACTTACCAAAACATTTTGGTGGATCTGGTTTAAAGGTTCCATCCTCAGAACAATGAAGTGTTGATTGTCCAATAAGATTAAGTCCTTTGTTGCATCTATAGGAGACTGCTTGTGAATAATCATAACTCTCCAAAGGCTCATTTTCAAGTTGCCCATTTTCTATGGCTGGAGGTGCTGAACATTTTACAGCTAAAGAGAAAAACATATCCAGGTGAATAGGTATTTATTAAAAAAAAAAAAAGGCCCCCCAAAAAAATCATCTTTTAATACAAATTGGGAATTGTTTTGTGCTCTTCAATATCATATTTGATTCAAATGTAAGAACTGACATACGTTCACAGACAGGATCTCGGCCATCCCATCCCTGATCTCTGCATGTTCTTGTTGTTTCCTGACCCGCTAACATGTATCTGAAAGCAATGATTTTCCTCTTACCAAATACTCAAACACAGCTCACAACCTAAATTCCATATGGTTTAAAACACACTTAATCCACCACAAAGAAAGTGACTTTCACAAACCCTTTGACACAAACTGGTTTAGCGGTGTCACCAAATAAATTTCCAGTCATTTCATATCTCCCATTAAGAAAATCCGCAAGGCTTCCACAGGATTTTCCTGTAATGTATTCAAGATATTGACTGATTTAGAATTGGTGCTCTTTAAATACTGTTGAAAATAATGAAAAATAATCTTTAGTGTTGCTTCTTTACATGATACAGGGATTTATTTTAAGAGGAAATGTGTGATACTGTGATGCTTCCTGCTGTCAGTGGCAAAACCACTATGAGCTATTTAATGATTAAGCTATTTAATGACTTGTTGACCTATAACATACATCTTTTCACATATCTAAATTAGACAAAAGGCATTTTAGAGGAATTTACAAATGTAGGGTACTTAACATATTTAACGACAGTACATACTTGCGCAATTGAGTTCCAGATTTGTCCACTGGTTTCCCTGACAGGTAACTGATTTCGATGCTTTTAAGTCAACTGGCTTGTGTCCAATCACACACTCAAATGTTACAGTGGATCCATCTGAGAAACTAGGAGTCGAGAGATGCTCTGCTGTTAAAATGACATTTCTTGACGTAAAAGAAGGCTGTGTGCATTGCGCTGTGGAAATAAACACAAAACATATGCTTTACAGTAATCTGATGCAGTACTATTTTGATCATCATCATTCTTATTGTTAGTATAACTTCTGCTCCATTCTATTCTTATATTTGGTTAAAAAAACATTACTAGGAGGTGAATATAAATTAGTATGATTTACTCACTCAAAGATGTGCAGTTAAAATTAAATCTCAATGCTCGAATGGGATCAGCTAATTGAAGTTTAATAACAGTTTTTACTTTTTTTCATGTGTTGCTCATACTTTATCATCCACCCTCCCCCCTTTTTTAAATATAACTCAAATATGGTCAACTTTGGCTCTTTCAAACACTAAAACTAATGTAACGTTTGGGTAAAAACACAACAGTGTCTAATGCTACACACACTGGTGCGAACTACAACTGAGCAAATCATGTACTGAAGTTGCTTTCATACAGTTTTACCACTGTTATCATTGCAAAATGTATCAAGGTTACATAAATATTTATGCACTGGGGACAAAAACACATCTGCTGGCTAAGGTCATGATTAAATCTGTCCTGAAAGCATTACAAGGGCACCAATGAACAGCCTGAGGATATTGTTGCAGGCTCATATAAATGCTAAAATTAATTTTGGGTTCATGCATCCATTTCATGATTGAAGCAATGGAATTCATGTGCGTGTACCTTGTTTACCAGTGAATATTTCGTTTTTTTTCTGTGTACAGTAGCAGCATGCTGTGACCCTGATTAGGATTACCAAGCTTTAAGATAAAACCTCTCTGTTTGCACTGTTAGTTGCTAGTATCAACATTACGCTACTAGGCTACACACTTGTCTACAGTTTGTTCAGTGAATGAACTCACCAAGTGTACTTTCCTAATATTATTTTACAGCACTACACAATTCTTAGAATGGAAATATGTTATCCACCCCTGTCTAAAGGAACGTACTGCATTTTAAAATATGGGCGGCACTTCTGGTTTTGCCAAGTGTCATTTAAATAGACTAAAAACAAATGATTACATATTTTAAGGGTGCACTACAAATAATCCTTATCTGTCAGATTGACTGAATGAGCTGTAAATTTTTTGTCATTCTATATTTTTATCTAACAGGACATAGATATCACAAGAATATCAGTTTCAAGACCACTGTAAGAAAAATATCCATATTCAAAACGTAACAATCACTTGAATCTAGCTTGCACTCACTGTTGTACACGGAAGCATTTCCGGGGGAATTACGTATGAGGTCAGCTTTGCACATGCGCGGCTCAGAAGTGATCGAAACGCGGAGAGATCGAAACAAAACAACGGTCACTAATTACTGAGTACAACGATAGAGCTTGAAAGATCAAAGACAATTTTTTATATAACTCCGACTGGATTCGTCTGAAAGAAGAAAGTCATATACACCTAGGATGACTTGATGGTGAGTAATTTATGGGCTAATTTTCATTTTTGGGTGAACTAACCCTTTAAGTTCTGTCCTTCTGATTATTTTCTTTTATTTTTCCACTGTAACAATATGAAAAAGACAAAAAAAGACTCTTGTCTTGTGGTCTGCTGTCCTGATTTAATGAACAATATCTCATGAATAATTCACTGTAATTCACTAAGAATCTCCCATTTTAAATATTTAAAACATAACCTTATCCATCGTCTCGCGTTGTACCAGGTTTTGCTTATATGTGGCATTATTAGAGTTAACCATTAAACAAGTTTATTGGTAGTATCTGATTGTTTACACTTCTGTGGAAGTTACTCCCACAATTCACTGAAAGCGTCATGGGGTGTAGGAAAAAATTCGATATACTCTTCATGGCCGTTTCCTGGACAAACAAAAAACTTAAGTTGCTTAATATGGGCTTTTCCCCCCTAGTAATATCTGGCAACCCTGTTTATGTGTCATGAATAGAGCCCGACCGATATATCGTTTAGCCAATATTATCGGCCGATATGAGCCTGTAAAAAAGATGTTCACATCGGCGGCATATTTGCCGATACTGATAATATGCCGCCGATGTGAACATCTTTTTTTACAGAACATATAACGCAGATTAAATGCTTCTCAATGGTGCAATTACTGGGTTTGTCCAGCAGACAATTGCTTACTACTGGTGACCCAGGTCACTGTAGTGTAGTGCTGTGTTCAAAATATCGATATGACGATGTATCGTCACAGAGATTTGACGATACGAGTATTATTACAGCTGGCCCTGTATCGATATTGTGGCACGTGTGCAGCAGTGGACCACGCTTAATTTGTTTAAAATTTTACAACGTTTAAAATAGAGTAGAAAAGTGCGAGGTTTCTAAAAAAGAATGAATAGAGCATATACAGGCTACAACAAGGTTTAATCTGGCCACAGAGGAACACAACTGGGTTGCCTGATATAAAGAGACGTAATCCCCGAAACAGAGTTTCACACTTGCGCAATATGGAAATATCTGCTAAGTGTGATACTTATCTTTGTCAACCTGGCAATCATGTGCACGCGCAGGGCCGCATTAAGACCTCACTGGGCCCCGGGGCTATGACTTACTGCAGGGCCCCCCATCACAATAATGATATATAGCTTAAAATAGGATTTTTATCCAATCAAAATTTTTGATGCATTGCAATTTCACAATTCTTGTTACCAATTCCAATATCACAAAATAAAAAATACTAGCCTAAGTAAAAACAAACTTACTGAAGACAAGTAAACAGTCATGAATTAGAACAAAGAAACTGACCTACAAACACTTAAAGCACTGAATAAGAAATATTATATTGTATAAAATAAATAGACTACAAATAGACTTAATGGTCTTCACTGCATAAATTCAATATACATTATTTTACAAAAGCAATTCGGTCAAGGACAGTGAGTGATTTTCTTTCTAATGTTTAATTTACATTATTGACACAAATAGCAACAGCAGCTTCAGCCCCGCCTAGCCCAATGGTTAATGCGGCCCTGTGCACGCGCTCTCTCTCCACTGTGGATAAACACGCCGGCTGAAAACACCGCTTAGCTTGCAGTTTAGCGATCTCCACTTCAATATTCTAACGTTCATTTAAGACACAAATGACTGTGTTGACGAGGAGACAGGCATTTTGACATAACTATGCGTATTCGAACGTTTAAACACAAGGCGCGAAAATCCAAAATGAATTCTGCCCCACTGCTTAATGTCCCTGAACAGTTAAATTAGTTTTAAAACCACAACGCTTAAAATGGGTTTAAATGACAAGCTTACATCATGACGCGCAAAATGAATTTCTCAACCCATAAGCGAATATACTAGGCCTATAGAGTTTATTCAAACACAAAAAGCAATATACATCTATCAAGTTAATAATCAAACTAACCTAAAACCTGTGGGGATGATGACGCTGTGTTTTTATCTGCTCCATGTTCCACAACTCCCACTCCATCAGCTTTAGTAAAATAAACTAAGCCTAGCTGTGCATTTTAGTGACTAACTCATGTTTTCCCCTCTCTCCTCATTTTTTTCTCACACAATTTTTATTTTTATTTTTTTAAATGTAGAAATTGTGTTAATTTGTGCAATGATAACCTACCAGCAATGTAAATTATTTTTTTTATATATTAGAATGAGTACATTACAATATACATTTATTAGAACGAGTACATTATTATTTATGGGCTTAAAAACAAGATGCAAACAATCAGAATATTGTACCTGGTGGGGAGTGCCCAATGTAAACATGAAACATATGCCATTACCTATATTGTACTGTGGTACAGTTATGGAGGCCCTTCATAATGCAGAGGTCAACTGCCTGCTCTGCCAATAGTTAGAAATGGCACTATAGTATGCAGTGTTTAATAAACAGCTGTTTTTCTAAATTCTGCTGAGGTGAAATTCAGTGCAGTCCTGTATCGTGATATGTATCGTACCGTGGCCTCTGTATCGTGATACGTATCGTACCGTGACTTTGCTGGTGATACACAGCCCTACTGTAGTGTAGAGATGTGCAGATGAGCTCAAACTTCACCCGAGACCGCTGCTTCAAATGATCCGCCCACCACCCACCCACACCTATATTTGATCGTCACATTACAGTGATTCTAATTCTTAGTTTTGCATGATGAGATGATGAATGGATGGCTCATTTTTAACAGCAGATTCAGTGACGTTAGAGACTAGAGCTGATCTGCGCATCATGGCACGCGTCTGCGGCACATTAAAGCCTGTGTTACGGCCACCGGAGCTGATCGCGGCCACTCAGTCAATGCTTATACCGGCTGCGCCGCGGCCCAAAACTCATGCTTATCACATCGGTCACATCACATCGCGCAGCACGACAAAATACAATAGAACTCTATTGTATTTTATCACGCCGTGCCGCTCACGTCCGGTGTAGAATAGAACCCATTATAATCAGTGATGTTGTCTACACTGGATGCAGTAAACTGATGCCTCGTTCTATTTATGACGTGCTGACACAAAGTTCAAATGATTTTCAACGGTCGCTTTGTCACGTCCTGTTGCGGCGCAGACACGGTGTCAGCATAGTTCGTCAGTACAGTCAGTAGCGTAGCAGATTGAAAAGTTAGTATCTTTCTGCATTTCAATAGCCGGCAGTGCAGTAGTGGCTTCCTTAATACAACTCTGAATCTTCAATCACGCCATCTAGTGGTCTGTTACTGATACAACCACAACTGCTACAACTGATAACGGAGCGCTCTAGCGGGTACTGCTAGTCATGTTGAGGTAATTAAAATATGTCAAATTAATATTTTGCGTTCAATTATTTACTTATCAAGCAAGTGGCTGCATGATATGCGGGAAAATTACAGTGTAGTCTTTATCACCCTGCAGAGGTTTCTTTTGCAAAATAATCTGCTGATTGTACACTATCCCTCAGCCTTGCCGCACCCCCCAGTTTGGGAACCACTGGAGTAACGTTAAGCGATTTGTGCTCTATTAATTTGGTCTGTTACGATGCTCTGTGTTTGATTACTAATGCCTGTGTAGTACAGCGTTGCACACAGAGGACAAAAACGTTCAGCCTCGACT